GTTTCAAACGTGGATCATTATTTGTTTGCAGATGTTCTTTCAATCTAAACATGATGTTATGTTATATTATATTCATGAAAGAATAGTCACGGGAAACTTACAATTCAACACTTTTATTTTGTTGTTTTAATTGATTATAAACTTCAACTAATGATACAACAGCTTCAACATATGTCTGATTTAGATTTAATGCTCGTTCAAGAAACGATTTTGCTTTCTCCAATGATAATGGATCTTTGGCCAATACTTGACCACATAGAGTAAATGCACGAACATGACGAGTCAAATATGTTCGAACAGCATTTGTAATAAATGACGATGCTTCTGTAGTACGCGTAGTGGCTAAATAAGCATCAACAACACCTAAAATCAGACACACACATTCTTAATCAACCATGAGCAAAGTGAAAGGAATACCTTTATAGGCTTCATAACAATATGGCGTTAGGCGGATAGCTTCTTTATAATGAACTAATGAGTCACTATAGCGTTTTAATTTATATAATGCTAAACCTTTCAATAGTAGAGCTTGAATTTTTTTATTATCCAATGAATACGCTTTTTGTGCTAAATAAACTGTTCGATTTGGTTTATTAATTTGTTTTAAACAATAATAGCCCAGTGCTATCCAAGTTTCAGAATACATATCGCCAAGCGATAATAAATGATTTGCTAATCTAAACATAAAAATAAACAAATAACTAGAAAGCCTTATCATTGTACTAGTTCACCTTTCTAATTGCCAATCTTTTGATTCATTATAGATTAAAAATGCGAGTACATCCATATGTTTAATTAATTGTGAATCAACATTATGTGCACGTTGAAGAGTTGTTAATGCTTGTGAATAATCACCATTTGAATATTGTGAGTGTCCCATTTGACAGAGAATTGTTGGTGAATTTTGAATATGTTCCGTATCTATTAATTGGTAAAGTCGTGTAGCTTCTAAATAGTCTCGTGTATGGTAGGCATAATCAGCTTGCAATAGAGTACGAAACCATGAATATTTTAATAATGAGGTAGAAAATGATGATAATGAATTATTTTGATTATCATTAATCGATTGAATATGTGGTGATTGTAAAAATTCATTTACTTTAATTCCTAACGATAATAGAGAATTGTAAGCTGTTAAAGAATTAGGATTTAATTTCAAACATTCTTTATAGGCATTAATAGCATCGAGATTTTTATTATCAATCGTATTTTTTTGATATAATTGGCCTAATGCTAAATAAATTTTCGATGAACGTTGATTATGAGGAATAGTTTCAAGCTAAAATTAAGTACATAGATAGTGTAGTATGATAAAATTATTGTTTCAGTAATACTTACAACAGCTAATGCTTCTTTTGGTTGCTTTAATTTACATAAACATGAATGTTGACGATATTTCGCTTCAGTATACCATTCTGGATCGCCCTAAAGAGAAACGAATACATAATTATTAGTGGAAAAAAGAAGGAAAGAGAAAAAAAGAGATTCCTATTAGCAGTATTTACCGATTTATTATCCGCTTGCTTATATGCTTGTATGGTTTTTTTGTAATATTGTTCAGCTAATCTATATTCTTGTAATTCCCATGCTGAATCAGCTTGACAACGATAAACGATAATACGTTGATCCTTGTCTAACGGTTCTTTGCCACAATCATCTAATGCAAGAATAAATTCAGCCTAAAAAAAAATGCGAAAACATAAATGCACAAACAAAAACTACTAACATTGTAAAATATTTACGAGAATTTTACAATCTTCGAATAAACAATCGGATCTCAATAACTGTAATTGTTCTACGGTTGACATCTAAAAATCTCTCAAAACGACATACAAATGGAATAGAATTTCTTATCGAAGGTAGAGTTAGGTCAAATAAGTACAACTGAGAAATTTTAAAATAAAACCAACTGAAATAAACTTTTCGAGAGTACCATTGGCTTATCACTCATCCAAAGTAATAAAAAAAACTATTAAAGAATCGTATGCACCTGAAGAAGTTCTTCCAGCTCTGATACTTTGTCTTTATTGTCCTCTAAACTGTCCTCTATTTACTTGAAGATGTTTTATTATTTATCATTGAATGAAATGAGCTTGAGGAGGATAGTGTTGACTCATCTTTCATCACTCTAGCAGTTTTTGCTCAATTTTTTTCAGCAAACTGACATGAAAATACTTTAAACAAATAGCTGTTCTGTCGAAATAGAATCTCAAGCTGCGTTAATAATAAAAATAAATGGTTTGCCGTGGTCATTGAATCTTCCAAAATAAGACAAAAGCTCTTTTTCTTCTATCTAAATAAGAACTTGTCTTTTTTATCATCTGCCATAACGTGAGAAAAAAGCCTCAGCATAAGATAAAAGAAAGTTTATTGTGAAAAAGACAAGATCTTAGCTTGAATATTCACTGTATGTGTATTTATAAAAAAAAAATAATAATAACAACGTTAACAAACTAGAAATTGTCTTACATCTGTATTTATGTTTCTACTGACAAAAATTTGTGAACAAAGTGAAATATTGCACGTAAACATTCTAAACTAATTTTTATGAATTCAAGTGTAAAAGTTAAACAAAATTGTAATGCCAGATAAAGATATGTACCAGTTTTTTGTGATAAGGAACAACCAAGAATGAGACCAAATAAAAATATAGATGAAATATAAAGGAATGATTTAAATTTTGATGATATAGAGGATTTTTGTGGTTTTTGTCGGTGTTTCGAGTGTGATGACGTCTAAATGGAAATAAGAAAAGTTACCTTTCTGAAACTATTGCACTATAACACTTTTGCTTTTTACTTTAGCCTTTGTTTTGGTATATTGTTGTGACGATATCGAAGAACGCCTTAATAGTAGTGGTGGAGAAGTTTGTGAGCAAGACTTGATGGAATATTCGTTTGGTAGAACAGAAAACTGTTGATGAAAAGGAGAGTGAGATGATTGTTGCTGTTGTTCATGAATCAAACTGGATATTTGATCTGATTTTTGTTGTGTTACATTTTCAAACGGATTTGTAGACGGTTGTATTAGGGGCAGCTGATCGCAGAAAAGATTTCTTTTCAAGGTTGAAGCAGCATCACGAAAACCACGCTGTAATTCCGACCATCTATTAGCAGAAGGAGATAGAGTTGACTGCCCAAACACAGTTGTTGTTGTGAAGGAAGAGTTAACTATTACCGGTATGGATGGAGTATAGGTTGCCGTTTCTGTGAAAAAAGATGGAGATGATCGACTAAGAAATCCAAATTGATTAGAACTAGTTTGTCCCCAGTTTGTCGATGAAAATGCTATTGCCGAAGAAGTAATCAAATTTGACTTGGGATAATTCAGAGATATTTGACGACTTGGCCACATACAAGAACCAACTAAAATGAAAAATTTTATCCTGAGCATTGCTCATCGTAATACTTCATGCGTGTGTGTTCGCTCTAAAGTCTTTTAGATTAGCGCTCATGACTTTCAAAATTGGGAAACTTTAATTATTGACAAATTGAGAAGTTTCAAAAGCGAAAAACTTAAAACTTACATATTCCTTCATCAAGACTACAATTTTCTAGACAATCCGTTAATGAATCAACATCTTTGACCGGTAGCAATGAATCTGTCAGCAGTGTTGATCTAAAAAGAAACAATAGAAGTAAATATATGCTAGTAGACAACCGATGACCATTTTACCTATTATCTGACTCTATTATCGTTTGTAACTGATTATTTTTTCTAATATTCAATGTATCTGTTAAATTCGTCTGACTATTCGATTCTGATGATATGTTGTTTTTTGTACTATTATTAATGTTCGATATAAGCTGTTGCTGTTGTTCTTGTTGTGTTCTTGCTCTTAGACGTGTTATTAGAGGACTTGAACACTGTTGTATTGTTGTTGACGCTTTTGATAATGTATTCTGATAACTAACCGGTATTTGTTCTAGTTCTGACTTACAATCTGATTGCATACTCTGACTTAAACAAAAGAAAAGAGATTCAACAATAAATAGGAATAGTAAAAGATAAGAAAGATCTTTACCTTGAGTTTTCATCATCAATAAAACTAGCGTACGATTTTAGATTCACCTCTTTGTATAAATTAGATATTAGAAAACAAAAACAATCATCTAAAAAAAGCATAAGGGGAAAAACGATGTAGATTAAAAAATTCAATTATAAAATGACTAAAAATCAGTGTAAATCCAACAAGGCTCTAATACATTTAGTTAGATCGCTAAAATTGTAGTAAACAGGAGATGGAATGATCATTAAAAAGTAATGTTTCTCTGACTAGCGTATGACTTCAGCATAATTACATAGGTTATATTTTAACTGTCATATGAGAAAGAAATTTAGACTAACGGACAAACTTTGAATATTTTTAGAAACAAGCCAAGAAACTGATTTTTAACTCAAACAATTTATGAAAATAGACATACAACGTACGTACAAAATCAATTAGTACATAAAGACATACAGAAAGAGAAAGAGAATCTCATAGCTGTTGTATAGAGAGTAAGAAAACAACAATGAAAACATTAACGATGACTATAATATCTGAAGAAATTATTTAATTATTTTTGGTTTGTTTTTTATTTTCCATTCGTTGAGATATTCGAAATAATTGTCTTTTAGCTTCGCCATCTGGTAATGAATTGAGTTCATAATATTGTGGAGAAATGGTTAACAACCAATCGGGTTTAATATCTGTCACTGTACGAATATAATTTTTAGTTGTCAATACGAATTCATTGTACAATACCCTGAAAAGGACACAAAGTACAAACATTAGTACTCATTTACTAATTCTACTGTATAGCTAAATTTTACCATTCTGGTTTATGATCTAAAACTGTGGCCGGATGTAATTGTACTATTTGATTATCTTTAATTGTTAAATAATGGCCAGTCTTTTCTAAATGTGCAATCTGCATAAAAAATCCGCTAACTAACGCTTTTCGTATATTCAAATAATAATCTTGTGATGTAAATTCTGTTGACGATCTTTTTAAATTAAAACGATCCATAATTCTACCCAATTGAGTTCTTACACTATCAGCTGATTTTAATGAACGAAAATTAACAAAATTTTCATAACACCAATTTGGATCTTCATGATTTTGTTTGAATGCATGGTAAACATTTAACATTGTCAAATGATCACCATCAACATGTGCAAAACGTGATTTACATTCATCGGCTTGTTTACGAACATCATTTGGTCGTACGAAACATTGTGGAACAGATAACATTGACGTAAGTGAAAGAATTTCATTGGAACATGAATAATCACATGAGGCAATAACCATTTTAGCCAATTGAGGATCTAGTGGAAATTCAGCCATCATTGAACCTAAACATAAGACAATATCTCATGTAACAGTTTCAGTTCATTAGATAGTTCCAACTAATACAATTTTTACCTAATTCTGTCAATTCCCCTTCATCATCTAGTGCTGCTAAATAATTTAATAATTCCAATGCTCTCATGAGTGTTTCGGGTGCTGGTGGATCCATAAAATCAAAATGAACAAGATCATCAATACCCAATTTTTTTAATTGTAATACTACACTGCCCAAATTCGAACGTAATATTTCAGGATACGTATTTTCATGCATTTCACTTTTGTACGCTTTTTCTTAAAAAAAGAACAATAAACAAGTTTATTCCATAATATTAATATATTCAGCTTTATTGAACTCACCTGTATACAATCGAAAACATTTTCCCGGTCTTGTACGTCCAGCTCGTCCTGCTCGTTGTTGTGCACTTGCTTTTGAAATTGGTGTTACTAACAATGATTCAACTCGAATTCTTGGATTATATACTTTTTGTTTTGAAAATCCCGGATCAATAACAAACACCACACCATCAATAGTCAATGATGTTTCGGCTATATTCGTTGATACAACAATTTTTCGTCCAATACTTCCATTGGGTTTATTTGCTGGAGCCGGTTCGAAGATACGTTGTTGCAAATTTGGTGGCAATGTCGAATATAATGGGATACATTTTAATTCACCTACTTCTGGTCCTAAATTTTCTACATCACGTTGAATACGTTTACATGCATCTTCAATTTCTTCTTGACCAGTTAGAAACAACAAGATATCACCTAAAAACAAAGATACAATAAATAAAAATACTGATATATTTTCTTTAATCCACCTTCTTGTTCTTCACTCATATGAATTTGAAGTACAGTTCTAATTGCTGCTTCTAAATAATCTCGTTCTGGTTCTGGAGTATAAAATATTTCCACAGGAAAAGTTCTTCCTGGTATGGTTAATAACGGTGCTTTATCGAAATAATCTTGAAATTTTCCAGCGTCTAACGTTGCTGACATGACAATTATTTTCAAATCTGATCGTTGTTTAGCAACTTCTTTCAACAATCCCATTAAAATATCCGTAGCCAACGTTCGTTCATGTGCTTCGTCGAGTAGAACAAACGCATAAGACTCTAGCAGTGGATCAGACATGGCTTCACGTAATAACATTCCATCAGTCATATATTTTAGTAGTGTTTTTGGTCCTGAACAATCTTCAAATCGAATTGAATAACCGACTTCTTGACCGAGTATGACGTCCATTTCATTGGCGACACGTTGTGCAACGGACATGGCAGCAACTCGACGAGGTTGTGTACAAGCCACACCCTTTTTTTTCTGTTGTCCACTAGATAGATTTAAGCGTTTAGTATAATCAACACACCATTGAGGAATTTGTGTTGTTTTTCCACTACCCGTTTCACCAACAAGAACGGTCACCTAAAGAAAAACGAAGTTTTAATGACACACATTACCAAGAAATCTTGCTTCTACTCCAATTTCCTAATATTAAAAAACGTGTTTTTCTTGCTAAATTAGTTTTACTACATACTTGATTTTTTTCTAATGTTGTCATAAACGCATCTTTGTACTCCCACACGGGTAACTGTCGTCGTTTCTTATATAATTCATAATAATAATTACTATATGGTGCACCCGTGAATGGATTTAAATTTGCCACACCGATCGATGATGGTTTTATTGTGCTAGTTGTCGACGTTGTTGAAGATGCTGAGGGATGATTACTTGATGAAGATGGTGATTCACGTCGTTTTTTCGACGCTTCACTACTTATTGCATCAGATGAATTATCAGAATCATTATCAAATCTTCGTTTACGAGGCTTTTCTTGACCAACATCTAAACGCTGTTTTCGCGAGCTCATTGACAACTGGCTTAAACACGTTACGCTATTATGAGTTTTGGTTTGTTTTGGATCAACGATATATTACCAGAGAAACAACTAATAAGCGTTTGATTGATCCAGGAAAACACCACAATTCTGAGAAGTTTCAACACATAGATCAAGAACGGATTTATCTAAAATAGATATAAAAATAACTTTCATAAAAAATGATGATCCTGAACACCAAACCGTTTAAGATCAAAACTCTTTGCTGTACTTATAATGATAAATCAAAAGTACAACACGAGAAGCCATCTTTGAATAACAATGAACCTTTCTGTGGAGTGATTCTTTCTTTGTAAGAAAGTTCTGTGTTCGATATTTCTACCACCTCTACGCACCTTTTAGAAAGAACAGAGTTACTTTCGTTTGTATAACTGCAAATAAGTGGACACAAACTGTTTCATAAAAAAACCACTGTTTCATTATCAATATATCAGTGATCGTACGTTGTTATCAACGTCGTTACGGTTCTGTATTGCTATAGATGTCTAAAATCCTATCGATTACACTTGAAAGACTAAATAAATACGTTTTTTATTTCAAAATGGGAGACAACTACGATAATTTTTCTGGTAGTTCTTGTTCAACAGACAAGTAGAGTATTATCCACCTTTGGATAAGTCATAGTTTACTACTTAATTCTTATTAATTCGAAAAACCTTTGTTCTTAGATGACTCATTATATTATATAATGTAATAGCGAAATATTTGCAAATACACGCAAATTTTTCTTATCTGCGTTTATTAAAATAAAGAAGCTTCCATGCAAACGTTTTCTTTTTCGTTTAAACGCAAGCAACCTAGACAAAGTATTTTTCTGTGTTTAAATAGAACAACAAAGTTTTTGTGTAAACGCAAACAGTTCCAGAAACACTCCAAGTTAGATTTCTTGTGATCCTTGCTTCACAAGTCAGCGTAGGAATCTAGCTAGCCGTTTGCTGTAAGACTCACAAAATACGGCTCGTACGATAAACGTTCATTATTCTCGAATATTCTGCGATGATCCTTATTTTACCACTGTTAATAAATGAGTGGTTTTTGAGAATTCTATTTCATCTTTTTTCATATTTTCTACCTCATAAAACTAACCCATCAATCTGTTTGTTGAACACATGGAATCGAGAGAACCAGTATAATTTCTGTTTAATCCTCTAATTTTCATCATAATACATGGCTAGTGTCTGAAGATTAATGTCAACAGGATATTAGTCAAAACAGATTTGCGACTTCTGTTTAAACGTATAAAAGGTTTGCAGCGTTTCTTTTTCTTTAGAAGTATTTAACTTACAGCTATTCTTTTAGTTCGATTTTGTTTTAGATGAGTCATCTAAATGTTTGTAGTTAAATTTGTAATCGATCAGGGTAGAGAAGTTAATTTCGGTCCATTTAACTGAAAATGGTAAAACGAACCCCCTGTGACAAGAAAAAAATCTCTTTTAGTCGCTGTTAGACAAAAATTTCAACTGTTCCTATCTTGTCCACTTTACATTTCATATCGATGGAAAATCCCACTTTGGCGCTAACAGCAAAGTGAAAAAACTTCCTACTAAAACCCTGATACGACCTTTCTTGTTTCAGTACTGGATTGAACGTCCTATACCAGTAACCAAAAGGAAGGTCGCTTATCTTGATCGGTTTTTACTTTTACTTTTTGACACCTGAACGATCCAGGGAATACTTGCAATAGTAATTGGACGCAATTTTTCCATTGGTGAATAATGAAAGTAAGGAAACAGTTGAAAGATGTCGCATTTATAGTATGACTGTTGGGAAATGTTTCATATTAGTATTGAAACCGCTCTTTAACATTTATAATTCTCCTTATGTAATTTGTTGTGGTGTGATAATTCTACAAGGTAACGCTCATCTGTACCAAGATCTCAATATTTTTTGTCGAATTGGGAACAAAAATGACGGACGCTTATTTTAACGAAATAATAATGCCATCTTAATCTAAAGCAAGGTAACGCTCGTCTGCACTCGCTCGGTCCCTTTACTTTAGGAATTTAAATCTTCAAACGATCTTCAATGGTTTTGAATCAAGACAATGCTCCCACTTCCCTTTGAGCAGTGTTCGTTCGCTAAGGAGCTGTCCAAAATATGTTATCAAGTTTTTTCTGATTTGATATGTAAGTGTAGAACAAAAAAGAGATAAAAAGAATAGTTAAAGCGTCGGTAATTCAAAGATCAAGAGGGTCCTTATGTTTTGCTTATATATAGTCTATTCGACGCAGAATTTTACGCTGATCACGAATATCATAGTTAAAAAATTCTTAGTGCGCGTTTTCCCAAAGAAAAATTCAAAAAATTGGGAGGGTGTGATTTTCTGAAATGTTGACCTCTTCCCAGAATAACTCCAATATTTCCGCTCCGGAGCACTTTGGAAAGTCAGCGATGTGATATTCGAAATTAGCGTGAAAAACTGATTCTAGGCCAGTGTCTTTTGAAATTCCAACTCAAAATCTGGAACTTAGACGCGCATTTGAAGCGGGAATTTCAAAACAGGGAGAGAGTCACTTTGCAAACCTATCTAGTTTTTTGTGTAAAGCGATAGATCCTTGATTCTTACGCCATTTGAACCACCTTGAGACGCACTACAAAAGTGTGCTTCGCTTTCTTTAAAACGTTTTTCCTTTTAGAAGAAATTAGAAAAAGACTGAAAAAGTGCGAGTTTCTCGAAAAATCCTTCAGATGATGAGCCCATAACTCAATGATATTTCCACCTAGAGAACTGCTATTAAGGTTTCTAGGTAAACAGCAATGCTGAATACGTTAGAAATGTGTTTGAGAGGTTTGTAGTTTTCCAAGTAGGTTTTGCAAAAACGAGAACTCTGAGAAACCTTCAAGAGCTTTTTGGAAATCTTTTTCGTCCCAAGCACATCGTATCGATAGAGCGTCAAATTCTGAGCAAAATGAGACGTCCTCGAGCCTTTTAGGACATCTCTAGAATGAGATAAGGCCATTTTACTTCCAGTGATCCGGCTGACTCGAGTCCCTTAAGAAATTTGCCAATAACTCAGTCTAGAAAGACGCTGAGTAATGACAAAGTTTATTGAAAAACCGATTCTTTGGAAATCTCTCAGAACCCTTCGGAATCGCATCTGAATGCGCATCGAGTTCTGAGCAAAATGAGATCTTTTCGGGCTTTCTAGCGTCTTTCTAGGCTGAGTTATAGAATCAGTTTTTCACGCTAATTTCGAATATCACATCGCTGTCTTTCCAAAGTGCTCCGAAGCGGAGATATTGGAGTTATTCTGGGAAGAGGTCAACATTTCAGAAAATCACACCCTCCCAATTTTTTGAATTTTTCTCTGGGAAAACGCGCACTAAGAATTTTTTAACTATGATATTCGTGATCAGCGTAAAATTCTGCGTCGAATAGACTATATATAAGCAAAACATAAGGACCCTCTTGATCTTTGAATTACCGGCGCCTTAATTCTACTACATCAGTCAACAGTTGTCGGAGAAGATGCAGTTTTATCACGGCTGAATCAGATCCGCAGCCTCATTACTAATTATGTTTTAATTCAGAGATGAAAATGATGATCAGTTCATCTCACATCGATTCTGGTGATATAATCAGAGCTAAATCTTCTGACAATTTTCGAAATTTTAGAACTAATTTTGGTCCGAGTTTCAAGGGTTGAATCAACAATTAGACCAAAACTTTACTTCTCCAAGACAATATACAACAATTTAGCAGATCTTTAACACGAATATTTTTTTTCTCATAACCCAGGTGGTTTGTTGCGGTTATCGTATACGGGTCATATACAACCGTATACAATTCGCATACGCCATCTATACGGCCGTAAACGATTAAATACGGGCCGTTTACGCACCGTATTTTACCGTAAACCAGATCGGTGTTTTACGACCGCAGTTACGCCCTACCATATACGGCGTGTTTATGGCTTAAATAAGATCATCGTATATAGCCCTATATGCACTGTAAATGACCGTAGGCATACCGTATATAGGCACTTCACGTTCTGGAATTATTCGAACGATAGCTTTGCTTTCGTCTAATTAATATTAGTTTTATTGTCGGATCACGTAACAATTCATCAGATCTTATAAGATTATGTGCCTGATCGTGCTCTATAAATTTCCTTTAGACCCTCTTAAAAAAGTATCTTTCTCTACTCATAATATTTTCTGGCATAGGTAGGACACAAGCATCCTTAGAATCGTGTTTAGCCACGTTCACTTTGTAGAGAATTTCAAGGGCTATCCAATGGTATGTTTTTGAAAAATACTTTTATACTTTACATAAGCATACTTCCATACTTTTTCATTATGGTAGAAAAGTGACTAAAGCAGTGTTTAAAGCACTAAGATAGATGAAAATTATTATATCAGGCAAGTATTTCGACTATTCACCCATGTGGTCATACCTTCGAAAGACTTACTTATAGCTCACTTTGAAGCCCATGAAATTCTCTATCGAATGATATATAAAGTAGGATGGTTAACGAGAAAATCAATGGATATTATAAACATGAACGACGTTGACCTACTGGTTTGCTGAGATGCTACCGAGTATTTGGAATCTGAGAGTACCCAGTTACATTTTTTTCTCAACATTTCATATATCATTTTGTAGCCCGTGAAATTCTCTTTCGAGTGACATAAAGTGGTCAAGAACAAATTAAAGGATGGTACAAACGTGAATGAGGGTGACCTACCGGTTTGCCGAGATAGTACCGAGTATTTCGGATCGTAGACCACTCAGTTACATTTTCTTATGATGATCTAATATCTTGTTTTGTAGCCCATGGAATTCTCTATCGAACGGTGTATAATAGTTGATATTTGCTCTAGGTGAAGGAGATGGAATGATGAAAATACTCTGAGTAAAGATAATTTAACGAGGGAAGAGTTTTTTTTGCTAAAATGTTTCCAGAGGCGCTGAAAAAGATTTTTAAGATCTAAAAATATGTTAGGGTTAATCGTGGATGAAAACTACATCAGATGAGTTAACATAAGACTGATTTGAACGGGGGCCGATTTGCGGTCTTATCGTTCGCCGTCCTTTATTGTTGTGACAAGTAAAATGGAAAAAAATTATGTTTGCCAGTCCTCACAAGTCCCCAGTTGTATAGAAAGAAATGAACTTCTTTTAACAAAAATCATAACTTCTTGATTTTTCTCAGTGACATCTTGAAATTTGTTTAGAAGATTGTAGTGCCGATGATGAATATTGCTTACAAAACTCGGGGTTGTTTTTAAATGGAGTATATTGTATATTTTTATCCTTGTATCGTTTGACATCGTTGTTAAACAAAATTGACAAGTTGTTCCAAATGCTTTTTTGTGTTGCTGATTTTATGCGTAGTATATAAAAGATGAATAATACAAGTGGCTACTATTTACATTAAATCAAAACAACAGGTCGAGGCATTATCGCATGAGCAAAGAAAGATAGTATTTAAGGTTTAATGTTTGACTGAAGCTGCCTGGTTCAATACTTATTACAAATTTTCATAATTGTTTGAAGATATCATGGTATACTTTACGGGCTCGTCCTAATAATCGAAAAAAACTTGAATAAATTGATAAATAATCATGCAACGAAAAATATAAATCATAGACTGCATAGTAATGTATCAGTTAACTCAAATGTTTTAGTGAGCGAAGTAATAAACAAGTTGCTGCTAATAGTAATGAAATTGTGGATACTAGTTTCAATCTAAAAATAAACGAAGAAGATAAAACCTGTTCTTTCTATTGAAAGAAGGATTACTCACATATCATCTGGTCTGTTAGCTGAATCTATCCAATCTTCATCACTTAATCCATTGCTGAATTCATTAGGTATTGGACCACCACAACAATAAGGTGCATGCTGGCTATCTTCACAACAATTATCAGCTTCACTTGATTTACATTCAATTTCAATAGGACATTTAACCAATTTTCCTGACATATTGCATATACCAAAACCGTCGGAGTCCAGTGTGTTGTTGACCAACGTGCTATTTAAATCTTCTTGTAAACAATAAAAAACACTGGCCGGTTTTCCAGCTATGACTGGAGGCACGTCATTAGTAACCACTGGGGGATAACCATAATTATAATAACCTAGAGAATAACCAGCATGTCGACGAAAAAGTTTTGAATTATAAAGAAATGAGAATAACCTGCTGGATAATAGCCTGGACGATATCCATAATGTGCCGCTCCCACGCCTGTATAATAACCTTTATTGTACTTTCGTCGTTCATAATATCTTTTCCCAAATGCCTTAGCTTGTGGTAAAAATGTTTTGCCAGCTCTTACCTGAACATGTTACGCATATTTGAGTTCTTATTCGTAGTTTTTGGTTGAATACCATCAGCAATACTCACCCATTTTGAACCACCCATTCCACTTCCCGAACCACCAATTCTACTTCCCGAGCCACCAAAAGGGCTCAGTCCTCCAGAAGGTTTTCTGAAACATTCAAATTAATTGCAAATTAGTAATGAAACTTGTGGGTGCGGATGCCACTGTTGAAATACACAAACAAATGACTGTGAAATAACTAATGACTTACATCCCACCACTGCCAAATCCTCCGCTGGAACCCGGTATTGCTGGCACACCTTTTTTGAAAACAAAGATGTGAAGTAGATCAAATTACAAAACATTTTCATTATAAATGATAAATGAATTAATTTTTGCATAGATGAACATTCAAGGTAAATAGACATGCTTAAATAATTGCTTTATATATCAGACTATATTAGGAATTTTATACATAACTGGAAACTTGCAGCATTATCAACACCATTTGCTGGTAGTATGTGGGAAACTGTTATGCTCAAAACAGGGACATGCAAGCACAACCACTTCTTCGATTGTATTCAAACCTGGCTTTGGCTGAGAACTTCGAAACAGCGTTCTCACTGTTTCTCGAACTCGGTGCGTTCTCGGTGCATCTGCACGGATGGAGCTCCCACTTCCCCCTATGCGAATGAGAAACCCATACAGACTTTATTTCCTATTCTTTAACCCTGATCCGTCCAGCTGAGGTCCGTACAGATCCCAGAAGAAAACGAGTGCTTTGAAGATATGTCTTGCTGCTCTGCCAGATAAATAATAAGTAAATGCAATCAGTTCATATTGATAGTATACCCTATTGTCATTCAGTGGAATATAAAGTGAAGCGGTAAAATCTAACCGTTGTGTTCAGGCAGTATCCAAATGGAACCGGTAGAATTTGGGCATATTATAGGCGGTTGAATCAGGGCTAACAGAGGTTAAGTACCTGGGTTACGACTGAAAGTTGATGAAATAGCTTGACGAACGCGATGCCCGCCACTTGATCCTGAACTAGATGAACTTCCTAAATGTGTTTTTGTTGAAACAGTCATGTTAAAATATACTGAAAATACACTTTACTGCTGCTGAAGAAACGTGAACCGGATGATGACGGCGATGCACTACCTGTAAATTACACACGAAGAGATAACATTTGAAGCTTCAATTTTCTGGAACTTACCACTACGACTGGAACTGAAAAAACGTCCTCCACTGGAGCTGCCACTGCGACCACTAAAACTAAAACGGCCTCCACCTAGAATGCACCAAACCTTCTTTTACACTATTTTAGATTATTTTTAGTCCGAGTGCTACTTGTTCTATTTTTTTTCAAATCGATAGAATTGTTCGCCAGCTTCTGCGAACAGATATGTGAATTCATGTCAAAAGCCACACAGTAGTTAATAAATATCTGAATTCGAGTCCGAATCCAAACCATTAGATTACTAGCAAATAGTATTTTGCTTTTTTCTACTACCTGACGTCGAATCACAAAATCAATGATATCACAGTTTGTAGCAGATACTTTAGCGAGCATTTCTACTCATTTCAAAAAAATTAAAGAAAGTAGCCTTGAAGTTGAAGATTAAATTTTCAATAGATGTTAGAATGGATCCAGTATATTTACCTCCACTGCGTCCGCCTCCACCACCACGTCCACCTCCACCACCACCACGTCCACCTCCACCACCACCACCACCACGTCCGCCGCGGCGCTTGTATCTGTTTAAAATTCTACTTGCATCGTCGTCTAAATTTAGAAACTACAATGTAGTTTCTTCTATAGCTACTAAACTTGCTCGTATTACCAGTATCAATTAGATTTAAATCAAATGGTTCCAAATTACTATCATCATCATCTTCTTCAATTCTTACCGATAAATCTTGTTGCACTTGCGGAGAAATGAGATCACATAACGTACGCACACGTGCTAAATTTTTGTTTATATCCACATCCTTTAAATCACGAACATTTCGACATAATACATCATTGCTCCCATCACCAATAACTGATTTTTGAACACATGATATTAAAATCGTTAAAACAAGTAACTTGATTAAAAACATCATAAAAAATGATTTTTCCTAAATACAACAAATGATAATCTATCAGAATAATTTTGGTAACAATCGCTATCTATTCTCAGAATGGATTCAGTTTCAAACATCTGTAGTTATCTCAAGTCAATTTCTCGTCACGATGCGATCGCTGTAAGACTCGCGAAATCAGACGCATTTTACCGCAAGCATGCTTTTCTCGCACTCATACCAAAAGCTCTCGCCATTGTCGAATATTTTATCATGATCGCTATTTATTCGCGATTTCCGTCAGCTAAGTCGTGCTATTCTTACGTCAAGATCAAGGCTAATATGTGCCAACTTGACTGAGATGTGATAAAACTTTGAAGATTTTGCAAGAACCAGTGGGATTACATATTGCGCATCTGAGAACGGTAAAGGGTATTCGTCGCGAGATTCGTACAGCTATTTGTGTCATATCATGACTGTAAGAGAAAGCCGTGATCGCGAAGTGGTTTTAAATCTTAAAAAACTTGTCTCCTGTGTGAATCACTATAACGAATCACGGCCCGACATTACAATAGCATATTACAAATTTTTTTAAAATAACAGCTCTTTGCAGTCTCGTCGTGGCAATGGTGAGTTTATAATAATCATTATGAGTTGCGAGAATATGACGCGATTGTGAATAAGCCAAGTTAGTTGACTTGGGACTCACTTTGCAAAAAGAATGATCCCTCACTCAAATAAAAATTGTATGTAAGAAAAATGCGCAGTTTCAGCACACATTTTTGGACACATGACATGGACTGAATGGATCACATTCGAGTACGACGGATTATGTATAAGTGTGTTGTTTTACTTCCACATACTTAGTATAAGGGCTTTTGGATGATAACTCGATAGTTTCAAAGAGTTGAGCTAGCTCATTTTCATCAGTGATAAGGGTACCTCTGATCTTTCATGACAACTTTGAATGCGAACTATAATGCACCGAGACGAACACGTGTTACCTCTATTTCGCGCTGTTAGACACACAGTGGGCAATTTTCCATAGGCAGGCGGACATTTGGTACAACATAGTTCCTCTTCACTCGAAATATAGCTTTTGTAGGTTTTCAGACATGCTCTTTCTAAGGAAACCAGAAAATCTTCAAAAACTGGTTTTTTAGGGGTTCCCCGAGATCCGGTCTCTGAAAACCCTTTAGAAAGCCACTTTAAAAGTTTTTGAACTGCATCATTAGATTCGCCATGGTTCAAAACCTGCCGAAAACTGGTTTTTACAGTTTCTGGAAGCTTGAAGATGCCATACTAAAACATCAGCTACAGCTTTAGAGAAAAACCTTGGAGAATCGCTGTTTCCAGCAAACTTCAGCAAGAGATCGTCGAAAGTGGACGAAAGACACATGATTAGATGCAGTTTTTCACGCTGATTCCGAATCTGTCCTCAGTTTTTAGCTAGGATGCTTTCTATCTGAGAAAACCGCGAAAAATCGCTGAAAACCAGAGTTTTTAGAAAACTCATAACTCCGGAACTGGAAAAAATTGCAACTTTTTGCTAGTTTTGTAGGTTGCCCACCTCCAGGTAAATAACTGCTAAAAATTTCAGCTTCGACGGACCTTCGCTAACCCTCGCGCACTCACTTTGCTGAGTGCAGCTTTTGAAAAAACACTTAGCGCCGAAAAAAGTTAAGTGCACTCACACAGGAAAGAGGCAATCTGAGACCTATTTTTACCAATCGATAGCCCAAACAATTAGCTTTCGGAATATATATCTTTCAAATTTTAAATGTATTTACTCTTGTCAGGAAAAAAGAGTTTTTTATAGAACTTACGAAAAATCAGCCAAAAATTGACGCTTGGCTTTCTCGGTCGTCTTATGCATTTGGTTCAAAATTTTTTTGCTGTTAGGTCGGGCATTCAGTAGTGTATATATGACACTATTCAGATCTTGAAAAATCTCGCTTTCGATTTTTCCCCTAATGTCCGCCTGACTGTCTACTGTGAGACGTCCGCGTTCATCAGACAACGATCTGAGGTGACTTTTGATACAGCACGTTTGATAATAAAAACTGATAAACTGATAAAAAGCTGATATAAAATGAAAAGAAATAAGTCTATAAGCTAGAAAAAAAATATCATGTTTGAGTGAGTTGTTATCTACAGAAAATTAATCTCAAAAGATAATGTGTCTCGTTGTTCTCCGTTTTGAAAAGCTCAATTCCTCAAGTCCGTGAAAATGATGCTGTTAACTGACCGTTTTCCTATCGTCGTTACGTCGTTTAACTGGAGCCGTTTCACGATCAAAAAATGGACCGCTTACACTTCTTTTTAAGACGTAACGGACCGTTTTATAAACGTTTCATAAAGAAGTTTTATTTTTGATCTTCTCCCTCAAAAAAAAAGTGTGTCACTATCTCTAGTACCAAGCCCAGAAAGGATCACTTCATCTAATCAAGTTCCGTTGACTTGTATATAGGAGAAAGGAAACAATTCTAAGTTATTCGAAGAAAATTAGTGTTATATGTATACTACTAGTGATAGTAAAATAAAAAAGATGAATGACTTGTCGAGAAAACGGTCAAAAAACAGGGACGAACCGTGTTTTCACTGACTTCAGTTTACGATACACAATTTGGTCTGTTACAATATGACCGTTAATTGACGTTCTTGAAACTGGCAGTTTATGGTAACGTTAACATACCGCTTTTACACCATTAACAGGTAGCTTATGAGTTAAAGATTCTTGAATTGACTGTTAACGGGTCACTATAAATGACTTAGATACTTACATTTATTTACTAACTACGAATATAATTTGCTAGATTAACATAAAAAATGTATGGTTATTCATGAGTCCATGCATTTATAATAAAAATTGTACGATATCTATATCTTTTGACTCGACTATACTGTATAATATGCTTGTCTTCATCATTAGTGTATTCTTTTTTTTCTTTCGACTAAGAATATCATCATGTTATTATGTTGCTTCTAAAGGCTAGTTAACTAAAACAACGATCGTTAAGGCAGCAATATACAAACGAATGTAATGTACATATAGAAAAAAAAAAGATGTTTTATCTCATATTATTTGTACATATCATATATTATGACAGTTTGTACTTTAAAAAATTTTTGATGTCTGTAAAACGATGTTGAATAAATTTAGTGAAGTTGAAATAAATTAACATGATAAACTTTTTGAATAATATTAAATTGAATCAGAAAAAGAGAACTTTTGAATAATTTAACTACTATTATCAATAAAAATAATCATCGAAAGAGAAATCCATTGAAGTAAATGAAAAATGCGAGTATATAGATTATTCGAATTTTTCGAACATATTACAATCAACAATATAATAATACCGGCAAAAAATCTTTCTGACATCCATATAAGCGTTTTGACAGTTAATCAGTGAGAGAGAAAAAAAATAATTATTATCTTTAAATTCGTATGGTTGATTATATACATTATATACAGTTTTCATTTCTTCTTCGTACAAAATTCTTTTGAGTGTTAACAGAATTGTAAAAAATTTCTCATGATGAATTGTTAGACAAATGAAGACAAAAAACGTGTAGCTTATCGTCTATTAATCTTTTGAAGAAGTGACAGATGCGTTTGTTGATCTGTTGATCTCATAGCATATTATTGTATTTTGTTATTATTCTTGGATTTTAACCTCAGTATACTGAAAGTGCTCGTTCTTTTAGCAAATGTCATTATTGTTGATTTCTATTTGCACTAGCTATTTGATTTGTGTAAGAAGAGCTAACAACAATTCATCTCAAGACTATATCATTTAAATTTTTCTTTCCACTGATTAGATTATTTTGACATTTTTTTTACTCGTGCATATGTTCAGTCACTTAAAGACTTTTTCATTATAATTGAGTACAGAGGTTACTTACCATAAAGAGTCTGGTATAAATTTCTTACTATTTTTTATTTGTTTTCTCCGAAATTGTAAGCAACGTTTTTTCACGATAAATTTAATGTCGAATAAAAATTTGTTAATGATTAAAATCCAATAATCAATCAATAAAAGATATAAATCTTCAACTAGTCAGAATAAAGCGTTTTTATAAAATTAGAATTTCTTTTTCAAATTCCCATTTTTCACTTCAATAATCTTGTTTGTTTGCTTTGAATAACAAATATAATAATACTTTTACACGTATTGTCCAGATATAAAACAAAATCTTTCACGCTGATAAACGTACGAATAACATCGATCTCTTGTATGAAAAAAAAACATCAATTCTTTTTCAAATGAAGAAATACCATTTCCATTATTAAATGTTCAAAATAAAATACTAATAAACAATTATACCGTTCAACTCTCAGTAAACAACAAAGGTCATTTGCTTACTAGTGTTGACTATATAATTCTAGTAAGTTACTTATACATTCGACATTAAAGTAAAAAATATCAATTTAAAGCAAATATAGAAAACGTTTTTTAGCATGACCACGGTAAAACAGATTCTTTTTTCGTCAGAAAAATATCAATTTGATTATATATACGGAAAAATGTACAGAAAATAACGATTATATAAAACAGAAATTTTTTTTTATTATTAATATAACTAAACACATCTATATAATAGGTTAGAAACGAACAAAACAGTACAAAGACAATAAAGCCACGATATAAAGTTACGCACCATAAAAGCTTGACATACGTTAAGAAACATGCGTATCAACATAGAATCTAAAATTGAATATATGAACTTTTTATCAAACCAAAAAGACAAACAAATAAAATTGTTAGTAAATTTAATATTTGACGTTAATGCTTCTTCGCCCTAAATATTACTTTATTGAGTATATTAAATTTTGCTAAGATGATCGATGCCCTATTCGAGAATAATCATCATATTGTCTATCCATCTTTGTTTGCGAATTAATTATTGCTTGTGAACGATGCGATGCAATTACTTGTAATAATAGATCCCGAGAACTTTGCTTTGTTGCCAAATCAACTATGCTCTCTTTTTTATCATTTGTCCATGTCGAATCACCGCCACATCTATAAGAAAAACAAATTTATGTATTTAGTATTTGTATGCAAACTTATGTAGAGTTTTAAATGTTACCGTAATAAAATTTTCAATGGTTCTTCACCATCTTCATCAAGATAACAGGCTTCATGCAAAGCTGTATTTCCTCTCCTTAAAAAAGAAAGAAAACATGAATAGAATCTATAGTTTTTAATCAATCGATAAATGTACTGGAAAATCCGCAAAATAAAAAGATAGAACTCTTCCTTTTCAAATTAGTTGAAGTTGACAACTTACGGTCCACGTGCATCAATCTTTGCGTGTCCGTTTTTAATTAATAGTTCCAAGCACTCATTATATCGATTTCTAACTGCCAATTGCAACAATGTGTAACCTTCTTTATCGTATTGATTAGCGTCAGCTCCTTCTTTTAATAACTGCTTTACTTCGTTTAATACATCAATGGATTTATTACGTCTTGGGCTTGATAGTAACTTGAGTAAGGATAGGTCCGCTTGCTAAAATAAAATAAGAAGATGTTCACTTGGTATATTCATGTTGTGGATACTAAATAAATACTCACGCTTTTCATTCCAGCCGCACTAGCCGACCTTGGTCGGGTTTTTGCTGCTTTTTTTATTCTTGTACGTCGCTCGCGTTTTGTTTGTTCATCTTAAAACACAACAGCGTCTATAGCGATAAAAATTTAAATTAATTTTTAATACTATGAATTTTACCGTCTGAATTAAATGTGCTCGAAAATGTTGAACTTCTTGCACTACTTGGTTCACTATTCATTAGATGACTGCGATTATGAGTATCATCAAAATAAAAACCCGATTGAGCAAGATGTTCAGGCTTACGAAATACAGCTTTTAATGTAATTTGATATTGATTTTCACGAACACTTGCATCCATCATCTAAAATTAAAGCAATAATTATATATATTAACATTTTATGTGCTGAATACTGATAAAATACCGCTAATAAGTCGTGTGATATTTTTCAAAATATTACTAGTAAAGAATAAATATCACTGATAGTTTTACTGTGTAACTCAACTTAAAGAGGATGTACTTTGAAGAGTTGGTGGCAGAAAAGCTAAAAATCTCCTCATTTTTTGTACTTATCATATACTCTTCAAACTATCAAAACAAAAGTAAATAACTTTGAAAAAGTCCGAGCGATATTTTTTGCATCGATGTGTGGAAAATACCGGGCAGTTTTGGATTATACTACAGTAACCAACAATATTTTTGAGAACCGCGATTTACAGACGGTAATAAATAAAAATCTTCGACATGAGATATTATTGCATACTTTTCCTAGGCGCGGTTCTCCAATTAATGAACGAAACTCTGGCTTATTAACGGCATAAGCTTTCAAATGTGCGCAAACATGATCCATTTGTTGACGCCAGTATCCTACATAAGAATAAAAACAATGGATATCTCTGAATCTTCACAGTTTTGCAATTAAAAAGACTTGTTATAACGCTTACCTTTCCCGGGAGATATTGCTGTTAACATTGGTCTCCTTTCTTTGAATTCTCTATCAGCCTGCAATTGTTTATTTTGATTGATTATTTGATCTAATTCCTTTGCCGACGGATAATATAAACCAAATGTTTGTGTTCCTGCTTCACTTTTTGTTATTGAATAGGGTTGACGGTAATGGCCGAATGTTGCATTGGGATTCAACCACGTCGGATTACCTTGTTGACGAGTCAGAGTCTATAAATGAAATTGAAAGTTAACAACCAGAGTATTACACATTTATGTGTAATACAACGAACTTACGCCAGCGATCATTCCCGAGGAAATATTCAAATTATTTCTTAATCTTGCATCGATGACACGTAATGGTGGTTCGACGACACATCCACAGGTTGAACAAAATTTTGCATATGGATCGTTTTCGGCACGACATTTTGTACATTGTAATGAAGCATTTCCTTTTTCTGGTTTTGTACCACACCAATCACAAAATCGTGCATCGATATTATTTAGTCTAAAACATTTCGAACATGTCAACATTTGCCCGTGCCCTTTTGGTACTAGAGGCGTGGTAACAGAAGTACGAGCAGGCTGAAAAGAAATTGAATATGATATAGCATTAAGTAATGCCCGATTTCCTTTTCGGCTTACAAGTGACGTATTTGGTAAAAGCTTTGCTTCACAAATAACACATGTTCTTAAATTAATAGGATTCGCCCCTTTGCAGTTTGGACATAAAATCTTAGTCTAAAACGATAGAACAAGCATGATTTATTAGAATTATTAGTCCTATATAGACTTTACTTGGTTTTGTACGTTGAGCATGTGTTGGTGTTCAGGAGACAACGGTGTTTCACACACAACGCAAATATCAGAATTGAATGGAACAGTTGACTTGCAGTTGGCACATGTCCCTAACTTAAAAAACAAGTACTAAGTAGTAACCTGAAGCAACAATAACTCTTTTATATACTGAATGTGAATCTGGTTGTGACAAACGAGGCTGAAAGGAAGTGGTATCATTCCACGGCAGTCCACATTCAGTACAAAAACGTGACGAAAGATCTGAGCTTCGCGGTGCGAAACAATGGGCACATCTAAAAACACACACCGAACAAACAGTATTATCCAAAACTTTACATATATTTACAATACTCTTACTTTAAAACATCTGTTTGCTTTTGCAATCGTCCGGCTTGTGATTGAACATTAGAAGTATTATAGCGCACTTTCGGAAGTGTATTTTCTATTGAGTCCACGTGATACTGAAATGCGAAAAGTATTGATCAATATAACCGTACGTTTATCAGATACATAATTCATAAGTCAAGTAAAGATATAATATAAAGCGATAACTTACATCTTGTTGTGTATGATTGTATCTATTGAAATTTGCCTCTAAATATCATAAAGTTCTGTGATGTATATAGACCAAAATATGGTTTGAACTTTCATTTATTACCAGGAAACTTCTGTTGCGACTGTTCATTTTCTTCTTGAATTCGTTTGATTAACTCCTTTGAACAAATAACATAATTCATAATTAAGTAGATAATAATTACAACGACATACTTTTCGTTCTTGTTGAAGTTCATATAAAAATTTATTTTCATTTTCATTAGTTGGTGAATGATCAGGCTTCGCATATTCTACATCAAATGTTTTTGTGACAATAACCGATTCTCTCACGCCATCACTGAAAGAAAAACACATAATTCCTTTCTTCATAGGATTACACTGGAAAAAAATACCTTGAAACTGCTATCGCTTTCACAGTTTGTTTTCCATCCTGGAGTCTAAATGGTCTTCGATAACGAATTGTTGAACGACGTGTTGACAATGTAGCAAACGGATCGGGTTTGTTTGTATCAACTGTATAGTATATATCAACGTCGTTTGTTTCACTCTTAATTTCTATCTGCGTATTTGTATCGATCAAAAACTTCCCTTTTCCCCTCTCTACTGGTCTGAGTGGAATTATTGAAGGGGCAGCTATGGATCCCGCAGTCATAATATTTTAAAATCTACAATTTGATTTGGTATCATATTATATTAGTTCATGTGATATTTTCATTCATTGTCTTTAAAGAGCTGAAAAAGAAAATTGTCTATCTAGAGAAACAGGATTGTTTCAGTGCGAGAATCTAAGCTTTTCTGCTCACTCAACTACCATTCGCAACATTAACCAGTTTTCGAAATATCGATCACGACAAGAAAAAGATAGTCCATGAGACGGAACTCAGCATTTTAATGACTGATGAGAGATTGAGAGCAAAGCATGAACTTTTGAATTTGAAAATTTCGCTTTTTCACTCTGTTTTTATCAGGAAAAAAATGTGAAAAATACGATGGAAACTGAAAAAACCTATACTACTTTGGTCAAAATTCTCATTAAACACACTGATTCAGTCGTGCAGTTGCATCATATTTTCTAATGAGATACAGAGAGATAGTATTTAGGTTTCCAACGTGTACTTCTTTTGTATCATAGATAACTTCACTCCTATTCTGTCAAATCGTCGTGGCCATTTTGTTGTAAATTCTATTTCTATTGCTAAGTGTCGATTGCTTGCCAGTTGATTGTGTTCAGTTCTCAAATCCTGTTAATAATGCACTTGTATCTCATTGGTGAGTCAGTTAGCCTCTCAGATTTTTTAATTTTGACATTAATTGTTGTGTGATATTTGGGCACTTTTGTGGTTTTTAATACATGTTTGGTTTAGTAACTACCTGATAAAAACCTATTGACTTAGCCCAAATGGCACTTACCTTCATCCAAATCTTCTGAACATGAACGTTTACAGTTTCATCCTTTTCCAAATAACTATCGAAGTTAAAATAGTCTGATCCTACAAAAAAAATTTTTGTTGCAGTATTGGCAGTATGTGATGATCTACGCTGCATGCTATGTTGAACTGGTACATGTTTGACATAGGTGTTGGGTGGTGTCGACCAGAGTTTTCAATAGAAATTTTTATCATAGTAGATTTTTTCACTAAGGAATCAATAAGATCAACGAGTTTTTCAAGCCATTGTATAAATAATAAAATGGAAATTCTCAACAGCAAAGTAAGATGCAAAGTGGGATTTTTGTTTATCACAGTGTGCAATAGGTGGAGAATTTTTCAAAGTAGGATCCTACTTTGCTCTCGCTTGTCCTGCCAATTATTAGAAACACCGTTGCCTACCTACCGTACGAATAAAATTTTTAATTAACTTTCAACTCATAGGACTTTCATTGAACTTTTCGTTTGTTCGAGTTCGGGTTCTTCGAACTCCAGTACATATCCAAAGTGATTAGACTAAGTTAGATACATTTCTAGTTCCAAATCTTAGTACATCTAACTTGCTGTCTCAGTTATTGAAAGACTTTGACTTAAATAGAAAAATTCCAGAAAGCTATTTGAAAATACACTATTCCGAAACTATTCGAAAAATGTCGATTAATAAAAAGGCGAAGATCCTGTGCTAAAAAAAACCTATTTAGATCTGATGTGCCATATTTATATTCAAAATTGACAGGTTTACAAAACTGCATGCCTGCACTTTAGAGGAGTGGTTGAGATGTCTATGCTCGACAGGTTTTTACCTTCGAAATTGATCAAACCTTATTTTTCTATTCAGTTTTTAACGCTGATTCTGAAAAAAATTGTTTAAAGGCTTCAGAACAATCTAGAGCCGAGATATTCAAGATTTTTTCAACTTGAAGGATGTTTCGAGTTTTCAACATGAAAAAATTTTCTTGAAAAATTAATACATTTTCTTAAGCATTCATCGAGCTGATGATCTCTATCCAACGATGTATAATAAATTAAGAAAAAGATTTTGCTTTAATTTTGGACTATGCGCCTTACAGAGAAAATCTTTTCAATGGTCAAACATAATCACTTCTTACTGGAACCACATACATAAAGGAAAAGTCCTTGGAAAACTTTACTAGTTTCACTTTCAAACTTGAAAAACAATTTATCTTTTACTTCCAAAGTTGATAATTAATGCTAACTGGTTGATTTTCTACTGACGACGATTATATCTGCATACAAACTGAATAAAACTGAAACTTATTTCAAATACTCTTAGATGTAACAATTCTTTATTCTTCACACTTATCCATAGTCGAAAAAGAAACCTGTTCGAAAGAGATAGGGGGGGTGACACTTTCTCGTTCCTTCACGAAAAAGAAATGTAAAAACTTTCCTTTCCCAAAAGAAACGAAAGTCAGCTTTTACTTTCCCGCTTTCCTGTCCCAAAAAAAAGAAAACCAAAGTGTGATATAATACTTGATATATACTTTCTTTTGTGTTTTTCTGTATAAAGAAAGCACTTTATAGCAAAACCAAGCCCGTATTTGTGATAGCGTCAAAAATTGAATCAAGTTAGGTGTTTTGCGACAAATTGCCGAAAACGCTTTTTTCGCAAAACACATAACTTGATTCTCGATGAAGTTTTTTGAGAGAAATATTTGTCTGATGCACGTTGTGTAGTTCAAACTCTGCTCTTTTATACAAAAAAAGCCAAGTCTCCAGAATATTGGAAACATAGAGAAACAGCGCTTGACATTTATTGCAATACTTATGCATGCCTCGTTATGTATTAAGAGAACTATGAAGCAAAGTTCAAAGCAGAACTGCAAGTTAAGCACGAAAGCAAACAGTTTATTCGTCAGACGTTCCATTAATAAATGATCAATGATTATACGCTTATTTGAAACGGTTAGTATTGGAAGCAATGAAAGTTTATAGATGCCTTAGTCTTTTTAGTATGAGTATTATGTACAATCACTGATGATGTTAGTATCGTTTGATAGATGCCATCATTGGTCTATCTAATTTATTACACGAACCACAGTTTATCATACTATAATAAGTATGAGTTTTCATCCATTTATGAAGTTAATCAACGTCAGTTAGAATCAGTCCTGGAATTCCTGATATCCCGTTTAAATCATAACGAATGAATGTATTGGATTATCGTGAATATGTAAAGAACTATCTACTCACGCAGGAGGATATATTGAAAGCTATAGGCTTTTGTTCAGCCATCTACTTTTCAAAGATCCGTTAGATATATCGTCTTCAGGGATATAAGTGTCTTGACTACAACATGACAAAGATGCAGCTCCTATTCTTTTTTCTGTCATATGAGATTAAAAAATATCCGAATCCATTCTTTTTTTCAAGTTTGATATTATATATATATTTTTTCAAGATGACAAAATATTGTTTAAAACTTTCAATCAAGTTTCTCTGTGTCGTACTTTTGTATCAAGCTTTGTGTTCAACAAAATAGCAGTACTATAACTAACTAATCTTTTTAATATTTTTATTATAAAAAAGACTTGAGTTTAACCCTTTGGTGCCGATTTTTTTTTAAAAAATAAAGTTTTTTGTATAAGTAAAATAGATGTTTATTGAATCAAAAATCATTATCAAAGCGTTTTAGGGTATATGATAAGCTTTGAAACAATCAATTATGCATAACCCAACATCGCATTCCTCACACTGATATCTTGTATATTTGGCTAATTTTTCACGTCTTGTTGTATGAGAGCATACATGACATTTCCTTTGGGCAGCTTTTTTTGAAGCAGTTGAGGGCACAAGTGATGGAAAGTGTCTAGCAGATAAACATAGTGGTGAATCAGTTAATGGTCTCGCAACAGAAATTCGTTTTTGATTGCCATACTTTGATATAATATTTTTTATCAGTTGAAGACGAAACTCTTTCAACTGTACGCTGTAAAAATAATGTGTCCTAAAATGTGCCCTCAAAAAGTACATGGAATGGACACTTTTTGTTCTATGTTAGAATGTGTCCATGCGTCGCTATTTGCGACACAAAATGTATCCTAGATACCGACACATTTTGTACATCATCACTAAGGATACATTTTGTGTCGGAAATAGCGACGCATGAACACATTCCAACATAGAACAACATGTGTCCATTTCATATATAAAAAAATATGTCATCAAAGGACGCATTATTTTTTACAATGTATATTCTTTGAATTTTGCGTTTCATATAAATAAAAAGCATTGATTGAAGCCATATCAACGATATGGAAAAGGGCTTCTTGTACCATTTGATTGTTTTTTTAATGCATTCGGTGAAACTTGACTGCGTATCAGTTAAATCAACTACACCCTTATTTTCATTATAACTTTGAACACAGGCAGGTTTCATAATCTGTCTTCCTGTTTTGTGTAGGCTATTTTCACTCACTTTTGATTCATCTGGTATATATATCACCCCGGATTTTGAGAAATAGTCGAAATGGTATATATATCACGCCCGGCACCAAAGGGTTAAACTTACAGGACTTTTTAAAAGAAAGATAATGTTAAATAGCGACAGTTTTGTTCTGAACGGACAATGTCAGATACTTTATTGGGCAGACGAAGTATGTTCTATTGCTGTTTCCTATAAAGATTTCGTAGTTTTTATTACTTGCTACTGTAATTTTTCTATAAATCATGAAACAAATGTGTAAGGCCTTGTCTACACTACAAAAGTTAAAGGAGCTTTAAGGAATTCTATTGGGTAAAAGTTAGTTTAAGCCAATAGAATTGCTTAAAGCTCCTTTAACTTTTGTAGTGTAGACAAGGCCTAAAATACAAAAAGTGCATAAGAATAAGAGTCATGTTATTGATTTGTCATATGCGTGGACTGTAAGCGTAGTATGGAGAATGATTGAACATCGATTAATAGCAGTGTGTAGTATATAGTATATAATTATTTACATATAATCTGTCTGTCATTTCATCAAGACCAAGTAAATGAAATCTTCTAACAAGTATATGAGAGAAGTGACATAAATCAGAAGTAGGTATTCAATAGATTACGTAAGTTTGCCAATAGAATATAAAGTACATAGATATCATTGATGAATAAACAATGAGAACAACAACCAGTATATTTGACAAACGCTCTACCTTGTGCATATAGGGGCCAAGCGGAAATCAATTATCATTTTCCTTGTAGACATATAGAAGTTTTTAAAACATTTCA